CGAAGCAGAATATTCAATAAGACAGTTAAAGATAACCTGCAGTCAATTGATACTAGTGGAGTTACATGCAGATAATGAAAATGGTACACTGTACCCCTTACAAGTAATATTTGCAACACGTTAATTTTGCAAATTCTATGATTGAAAAAAAAAAACATTGCAAAATTAAAGTGACACAAACAATAAGGGTCACTAACACAACATGACGCAAAAAATAAGTTAGTCACAATATGTCAATAATGTTTACAAAACCATATTTTTAACTACAATGTACCTTACCTTACATTTTTCACTGATGAATAATTCAGGTACAACTAGCAACTGTTTTGTTGTTACTGTTGACATATAATTATACTGTAGTCCCACCCTTGCATTGTTGCCTATTTTGAACATGAACAAAGACCAACTTTTTACAAAATAGCGCCAGCATGCTCACTCGGGTAGCCAATCACAGCAAAGGATTCGGTTCATCTTGCCTGTTCATGGAGCTAGCCATACAGTATAATAAATGTACATACATTTCCAGTTTCTGTAGCAGTAAGTGACCAGGAGTATCTCTACTCCCCTTGCATGGGGAGAGAGGGAGAGGGAGTTAACAGGGTTTTTCCCCCTCTTTCCCTGACCAACATCAACTTTGCTAGTACCCATTTACTGTATACACCTAGGTAGAACGAGGCACTGTAAGAGTAGAGTATTGTCCTGGAACAAAACACAATACAATTTTGGCCAGGTTCTGCACTTAACTAGGAAAGCAACATACTCACCGTGCCTCCCACTGACATCAAACAGACACCCCCATATACACTTTACATAAATGTACAACCACATGTAATAGCATTTCATGTATAAATTATAGAGTTGTATCGGAGCACAAGTCAAGTTCCAGCCTGAGTCAAGTACAAGTCATGAGTCAAGCTCAAGTCAAGTTAAATTTGACTCGTGCAAAGATACAACTAAAAAAAAATGCCATTACCGACTCTCTTGAGATTATGTCATACCACTGGCGGCACACCAAGGCACAGTTCAACATCAAATCCACAATCGGTAACTGACAGAAGATATTCTCCAAAATCTCTACAGGCAGCTGAGCAAAGTCACTGTCACACTGGCTCAAATCCTGTGAGTCGCCACCATCTTCATCTGAGTCATTGACATCGCCGCCAACAAGACCAAATGTGGACTTTGCTGATGCCTGTTTTTTAGTTTGTTTCACAGATTTAGACGAAAGTGATGATTTTTTGCAAAAAGATGCGGTATTCTTCTGATCAGATTCACTAGAACTAGTGCCCTTGTAACTCCTTTCTCCCTTGCTGTCTTGACTAGATTCAATACTTGTAGAAGATTGAGAACAAGTAGAACTTTCTTCCACTTCTGAATCACTCTTAAGTTTTGTGCCACGAACCACATTCATAATTACACAACAGTCATCGTCGCTTACACAATTCTCGTCTTCGCTATCAACAGTAATTGTTTCTGGGACACGTTTCTGCTTTTTGGCAAACCTGCCTTTCAAGTGATTCTGTGCTCTTGAATTTGACCTGCGTGTTCTTCTACTATTTCGCGGTGATGGACACGAGGAGGATGAATTTGATGACGGCGAACTTGAACTAGAAGATGTTGACGACGCCATGAGGCCAAGCACACGTGTATGGTCAAAGTGCGTTTGTGTTTTCTCTGCAGAACTATTTTTCAGTGGTGAACATGCACAAGTAACATGCCCGGAAACTGCACATTTGCAAGTTGTACTTCCTAAATTACGCTGACCTGACAAAATTTGCTGGTTTTCCGTCCCTGAATAACATCCTCCAGATTGCTGATGAATTTTTGCCGCAGTCGTGAAACCAAACACCGGGGTAAATGTAACTTGATCCGTGCGTCCCTTGACGCCAGTTGTCCGATGGTGATTTTCGCCGCGCGAACCAGGATTTGCCTTCACGAGAAAATTCACCTCTTCCTTATTGATACCGCTCCTTGGAGTGAAATATTGTGAGATTATCCGTTGATGTGGAGATGAAATAGTCTTATCTCGCTTTTTCTGAGAGGAGAAATGTCGAGCCATGACAAATCTGTAGACCTGTTTTACAATTTTGTACTCTTGTAACGGATCCAGTTGGTCGCCATGATAGTTTCCATTTTCTTTACCAGTGCCGCTCGACGCTATTGGCCACTTGGAAACTCAGTACTATAGTAGTAAATTCTTGAGGGGAGGGGAAGGTAAGAAGGGACAGAATGTCTACAACATAGTCAAACACAGTCGAATTTTTAGGAAATACTGATAGGAGCCAATAAATAAAATATATTTTCACGTCACTACTGACCAGGTTTATTTTCTAAACTCTGTCTGCAAAATCCAAGTAGCCTTTTATCTCTACTACACACACCGACCCACCCTAAAGTTGCTTTTTGCAAATAGAACCAAGATGGCGGATGTCAGGGACGATGGAACTCCCAGACAAAGTTATGAAGATTTTACCGACTATCCTCTCCCTCTACGCCTAGTGCAGGCCAACAAGAAAAAAGAATTTATCAGCATGGTTGATTCTCACAGAGATAAACGGTCAATATTAAACTGTGTTCATTCGAAATCGGGAGACACTCCAATCATCGTGGCCTCCCGCCATGGACATGTAGAACTGTTAAAATTCTTAATTCAGCAGGGAGTGGACATCGAACAGCGTAATAAGGACTTAAAGAGACCTTTACATGAAGCAGCTGCTGGCTGTCACTTAGAGTGCGTCAAGCTTTTAATTTCACAAAACGCGGAGATTGATTGTTTGAAAAGAGCGGACTGGTAAGGGCCACCGAAGAAATCTGGACTCTTCATTGGGTGCCAGGTTGGGTATCCTGGGGTTTACAGCAAGAAGTGCTTTGTTTCGGTACAGTAGACTATTTCTGAGATGCCTTTGCCTCTGTGCTGCTCTGTTTCAAAATGAGTCTCCATTCATATGAAAGTGAGCTCCGCCTAGAGGTTCATTTTCATACAAATCAAACTAATTTTTATAAGAAAGGTTTTGCACAAAGACTCATTTTGAAAGAGAGGCAGAAGGTAACTTGGAAATGGCCTATTACAACATTTGGCACCAGATCTCAGGCAGACCTGTCTCAAGTCGTCAGGGATGTACAGCTGCAAGGGGTGATGGGAATGAGGAAAGAAGGGAGACATTTGAGACTGACATGCATCTACACTGTAAAAAGTAAACAAAAACAAAAAACAGGCAGATGTCAACTTTTTTTATTTTTCGGCTCTTAATGTGCCATATATCTCCTGTCCTCCTTTTCCTTCCCATGAACCCCTCTGTTTCCCTGAGATTTTTTCAAAATTTCATCCAGACTCTCCAGACTGTCACCCATTCAGTGGACCTCTCAAGTGGCAACTGGGGATGAGTCAGAGATCTCAGGATGCACAGGGCAATGAACTAAATGCAATCCTTTAAGGCTGCTATAAGCTTACATGTAACTCACACGTGTCTCACAGAGTATGAAAAGATGCTGCGACACTGATCATTGAACAGAGAATTATTCTTAAATTACACCTTGCAATAGTCCTCATGGCTCGTCACACGTTTCCGCCCCCGCCCCCCCATTTGCATGATGAACCATAAGGGCATCTGCATAGGAGATTGATTGTTGATAGTTCTGAATTTACTGAGGTGCTGCAATCAAAGTATGTGTGCAGTGGCACTGAGATTGAAGGATACTCAAAGGGGGTTGAACCAGAACTGAAACTGGGCCCTTTCTTGCCCTCATAAAAGTTGGGAGGGGTGAAGGGTCAGCTCTTTCCAGTTCTAATGAGATAGGAGGACAAAATGTTGTTTTACTCCTTTTCTTCCTTTGAGCTTTGTGTTGTTGTTGTTGTTGTTGTTTTCTTTTTCTTTTTCTTTTTTTCTTTTTTTTTTTTGCAAAACCTTGCCTAGACTAGATGTGCATAAATTATGGCAGCGAACTTTCTAATGTGGCATATTTTCTTTGAGGTTTTTCCTTCACATCACACGGACAGGAACTACTCATAGTCTTATTCTCTATAGTGCTCAACAGCATATTTAAAAGGTGCCTAACATGGAATTTGATCAGTATTTTAATGATACATTGTTGATTGATCTGCCAGTGTAGGACACCTCTGATGCTATCATGTACCAAGTTGAACTTCGATATCATCAAGGTGTTGGCACAAAGTGGAGCCAACTTGACACTGACTAATAAAGATGGCTGGAATTGCTTCCATATTGCTGCAAGGTAAATAATAGACATGTATGTAAAGACAGAATAAATGGCTTAAACAAGTGGTAGTGCTGTAGTTGCTCTGAATAATGCTGGAACATCATTTTATGTGGACATCTAATCTTTCATGTCGAGGTTTTCTTCTTCATAGAAGCATTGGGTGGCAGTGATCTAATGGTTACTGCACCAGTGGGACTCTATATTAGTGTTCTGGGTTGGGTAGTCCTGGCCAGGGTCATTTTGCTCTGAGCAAGATACTGCTGCATCTGCCCATACAAGAGGATAAGTGTTCAGCAGCCAGTTTCTGTCTACATGTAAGAAAATGTTAGAGGAGGGGGGAAGGATTAAACGAGCAATGATACACTTTGATCATAGTCTGGCTTCCCTTACACTGGGGGAGTAGCATACTCCAATTAGCTTC